CTCCCTGTAGGAAAAATATGAAAAAAATTGTTATTGACACACATATATAATTCATTGGAATGGATTAGGATATGCTCCATTAAAATAATGGGGAAATTGTCATAAATAAATAATAAATGTGTATAAAAGGATCCATAGCAGGGCTAAAACCAAAGAATTGTGGTAAGATTAATTTTGGTAATATTGATCACCTTAGGTATTTATAGACTTATTCTTGGTGAAATAAATAAAAACTGTAAATATTGAATTTAAGCATTTACATATCGAAATGGCAAATATCCCAAATCTGTTGAGTTCGCTTGCATAGCCGAAAGCATAAGATCTAAAATTCAACATTACTCTTGCCCAAACTGGTCATTTCAAAAGAAAGTGCCGAGATAATTTTGTCTCGCCTTCTCTCAAATAATTAGCGCCCGGCCATTATACAATAATGAGTTAGAATCCCTACAACTAGGCTAAGTTAAACCTTGCTCAGAGCAAATGGACCTTCTGACGAATTATTAATGCTACTAAGAGTTTAAGAGATTATAACGGAATAGTGTCATAACTCAAAAAACACGATTTTTAAGTTGAGTATGCCGAAACGTGCGCAATGCATTATCCATATTGTGTAAAAATTGCATTCTGATGCGTAGAAAAATAAACAGTCGAGATAAGAATGTGACGTTATTCCACTTTTTAACAACGACACATCTCAGTTGTGCGAGAATTACCATAGGACGAAGTTTGTTTTTTTTCAGAAAGAACGGAATATTTTTTGTGTATATTTTTTCATGGCTTATATTCTCAGCAATAACGACACATTTAACTTATGAAAGCGAAATTGATTTATATTTTTCACAAATAATGTCATATTTCAAAGTGGAAGACGTTTATGCCCAAGAAAAAACGTTAGTACCCTATATTTAGTCCACTTATGCTCAGCATTTTATTGAATATATTACATGCCACTAGCTTATTCAATGAACTTATGGTATTTTTCTATATTTGCTAAATAAGAGACAATTGATAACTTTAAACCGCTCTACTTAAAAATTTACTTTTTTGAGTTATGACGTTATTCATCTAAATGAGTGATATGTAAGTAAATTATAATTATTTTTCTAACATTTATGTAGTTCTATGGAAATTGAAAGAGTTGTTATATATGAACTTTTATGTGGATGTCTATTTTGCAATATTTTAGCCTTGTCAAATCCGATTTGAATTTAGAAGTAAAGATCTAAGGTAAAAAATTTTATATTTTATTTTTGAATACGTCCGTCTGTTCGTCGGTGCAATCTATAAGCGGAGTAAAAAATAAATTATCTTGATAAAACTTGGTACATGACTCTGACAGATTGGTGCTGCAGATCGCAGATCATTGTTACGTGTAGAAAAGGCGTTGACTAAGAAACAATGAAGTGCTATAACTAAGTCAAAAATTAAGCTACAAAACTTAAATTTTGTTCAACGGGTCACAGTGAGGAAGAACTTTTGTACCTCTTTATTTTTAAGTGGGCGTGGGCTTATAGGTATATATAATATCTCTCAAGCCATTAGAAATATGCTAATAATACTTAGTGGAAACATTTCTAAATACCATTTCTTGATAAAATGTGAAAATGGGTAAAATCCCGCCCACCCCTTATAAAAGGGTTATGTGAATAACTACTACAGATACAATAACTCTCTAACAAACATTTTCAGTGCCATTAAAATTAATCGCAAAGTTAGTTCGGGAAGGCACAACCCACTTTTTGACTTTGAGGTCTCATACCTCAGCAACTACTCGACTAATTGCAACCAAATTTGTTAAATGACATAGACTAATCATCTTTAAAGATGTTATCTGATTGCTTATTACAGGCTTTATACCGAAAATGTCAATACATTGCCTCTTTTTAGTAGCTCCCATAAACCTAATATAAAGATTTTGAAATTTCCGTTTGGCTTTACATATATTGTAGATGGATATCGATCAATATTTAAGACATTTTAACAAACTTTAGTGAACGTAAACCGATATCTTGCTATATATCTTACTTATTTTGATTTACTTGGAGTAAGTATTGAATATTGAAATTTCCTATAGGGTTAGTTTAGACTGGACGTATAGATACCAACATATAATATATACTTGTAAGAGCTATCGGTTGGGCATGGTTAAAGTAAACAAATTGTATTTCTCAATGGAGTGGGGTAAAAGAAGACAACAACTATGCGTGTAGTACAACACCACATAACACAATGGAAGGGTTAAAAAGAAACTGGAACGCTTTAATTTGTGCGTAAATTCTCAATCTTACACGGCCTTACGCCCCATCGCCCATCCCCGTGTGATTGCGCTCTCTGTGAAATTTATATTTGGTGTTAGCTGACTGAGTTGGCGTGCGGCGTGTGGCATGCCACAACAAGACAATCGCCGTTGAAATGCTTCAGGTTGGAACGTGCACGCGGTTTTGTTTTCATTCGGCAGCAATGTGTTCACAATTCCCCCCTTCCACACGGCGCACTAGGCCAGATAGGTAACAATAAGTTCATGATACATATGTACATACACACATGCAGGCAGCGTAAGCAGCATAAACGCTCCAGCTTCCTCCTTTCCCCATACTTCACTTAATTACGCTCATTAATTTTGATGTTGCTTGTTCTTATTTTTAAAGCGATACACTTGCAACTGGTTGGTGTTGTTGCTACCACTTTTGCCGCTGTTGCTGTGAAACATCAGTGCTGGCAAAAATGCTGCCATTGCAAGAAATACAAACAAAAATATGTTTATGTATATATTTTATTATACTCCTGCAACATGTTGTTACAGAGTATTATAGTTTTGTTCACCTAACGGTTGTCTGTATCACCTAAAACTAATTGAGATAGATATGGAGTTATATATATGTATAAGATGAAATCGGGATAAAACTTTTCCCATTTAGTGTGCTTAATGTGGGCCACCTTATGACCAAAAATTGTTAATATCTGACTACATATGTTCAAGCTCCCAGATACCAAATTTGTGGCCCCAGTTCCTACTGCGAATTATTTATCGAAAATATCAGTCAATCTGTGAGATGTATTATAGAGTTTCGGAGAGAATCCTTTCTGATAATATTATGTCTGGATGCCAAAAATTAGTTGAATCGAAGATTTTCGAACTCCTGGCTAACTTTATACCACATATACCGGCCAATATGAAAGTTATCTTAGTGAAAACGGTGTTTTACTCATAACGGCGCATCTTTGTGCCTAAAATGGATGAAATCGGGTGAAAGCTTGCCCTAGGCCCCATATAACTAATATCAGGTTTTTCAAACATCTAGTTGGCTTTACTCTTTATATTGTATATTGGTAATATAAGTAGTATGTGAAGTACCTTAATGAAACTCGAGAGTATCTTTTTGCTGATAATGTGTAGTAATGATAAAACAACATTTTTAAAATAAAGTTTTGCTAACACTTAAAGGTCTTTCCCCGGCTTTGTTTCTGGCAAGTTGCAAGAGCATGAAATGTTCGGTTACACTCGAGCTTAGCTCTTTCTTACTTGTTTTCGCTTCACATTGTTGCCACTATTGATGAGCAGCCCTTTATATCCCTCCTTCCCCCACATGTACTTTGTTACTGCGCGCATTTTCCAATTAGTCACATTCCTGTTTACAATATGATTTTCATGGCAGCAATTCGGTGTTGTTGCCTCCATCTGTTACCAACGATCACCGGCTGTTTGCAGTTGTGTTTGGACGATTTAGTGTAGATTTTGTTGTTGTCGCATAAGCGTTTTTGTTGCTTTTTGCAGATTGTTTGAATTCTCAATATCTGTTGTAAAAGCATTTAACGCCGTGCGGAATGTAAACATTCCTTCCGTTCCGCCTGAATTTATACTCCCTCGTAACTCTTGCTCAAAGCACCTTAAGTTAAAAGCCAAAGTCATATAATTTTAACATTTCTATTACTCATCGACCATAATCAGATAATTAATTTGGAGTATTCATGCTCATTTGCGTCTGAAATTATTTCAAAGCTTAAAAATGCTGTGCGAAAAAGTTTCTAAACTTGTTTAAGGACAGGTCAAGAAGTTATTTGGACACAACTTCTAACTTGGAACTTAGATAATAAATGTATACTTTCTGGAATTGACAAAAGAAAAAATTTGTTTACTGCGACATCAAAACATAAACTAAGTCTATTGGTTAATACCTAATTTAAAATTAATGAAGGCTGAATATGAGAGTTCGTGAATATATTTTAAGATTTACAATAGATTCCGAACGAAAGCAGTTTTTTTCTTCCTTAACCACGATCGGTTCCTGTTCCTTCGATAGCGGCGTCAAAAATTTGTTTAAGGAGTTTCAAAGAGACCGCACGTCGTTGTTTAATGAGCCGCTGTTCTGAAAACACATATCACGATTAATAATTTGACAAAAGTCCATGATCTCGAATTGGAGGAACACCGATTAAAGGTATGCGGGATAGCTGAGAAAGTAGGCATCTCAAAAGACATCGTGGGTGTTATCCTATATGAAATATTGGGCTTGAGAAAGCGGTCGCCACAATGAGTGAAACGTTTGCTTAGCAAACTACCGTCAGAGCGCTTAACAGCCTGTATGTAAGCTTTAACCTTATCGCCTTCAAGAAATTACTCACCACCAATTAAGTTTCGTAAAGCTACCATGAGACCACTTCATAACAGGGTTCGACTCTGTTTAAGTTCCGCAGGAGTTTCTGATTCGTTTCGTGATCGTCGACGAAGCATAGATCCACTGGAACACACTGGAGATCCACTGAACACACGAAAAACTGGGCTTCACTTGGGTCTATCGGACGTAAAGACGTTGCGTTGTTTTTTCAGGGATCCAAAAGTTGCAACTTAGTTTGACTATCTTGAGAAGGTAATCTACTAAATCGCAAAATTGGTTCAACTCGACCCGGCACTGGTGTTAACAAGATCAGTATAGAAGTTTTTTTTTCTCATAATAAAATTTAAATTTTTCGAAAAAGTTACCTTTTAAATTTGTTCCTACTTATTTCATCTCTATTATATTGACAAATTCAATTATTTACTTAAAATTTCCTTTTCTCTGTTTCGTCAAAACAAGAGTATAATAATAATATTGTTTCTATTTAATTTTAAGCTTTACTTGACATGATGAAATTGAGAACCGCCGCGTATGTCTACGAATTCTAAAAGCGCAACGCGATTTTCCTCACAAAAAATGTTCAAAAACAAAAGTTTCCACGCTGAAGAAATTAACAAACAAAATGCAAAAAGCAGGAATAAAAGGTCACTAAGTATACCCTACGAACCTGGGGCAAAATGGGAAGGAAAGATATATAAACTCGTAGACGGTACGAACTTCGATCAATATATGGCGGCTCTCGGTATTGGTCCTGTTTTGCGCAAAATTGGAAACTCCGTACGACCGGTCATAGCATTACGTAAGAATGGTAAATATTACACACTCATAACGGCCTCGGACTTTACCACGACCATACAGCGCTTTGAGCTGTGCATCCCCTTCGATGAGTTCACTTTAGACGGACGTCAAATGCGGACCACCTTCTCGCTGTACAACAACGTATTGATTCAGCATCAAATGGGCGATATTCCTTCAACCATAGTTCGGGAGTTCCACGAAGACAAAATGATTGCCAAATATATGGTGAAAGACGTTGAGGCCGTGCGTGTGTTCCAAGCGGCTGATGAGGAAATGTGTAGACTGATTTGGGAGGCAAATGTCGCGAAGAGATATCACATATAAATAGGTATATTAAATAAACTACGGATTTGTGGAGTGTATAAAGTCGCAGATATTCAAGACCATCAAAACCCATTTTAAAAATATGGTGAAAGTGCATAGACGTAAAGCATATTGCATGCATTATTATGAAACAATATGAGTATGCAGCGACGTTTTGCGTGGATGCGTTTTAGAAAGCGCTGGTATATGCTCCAGTATACCCAAAAATTGTCTTGACTTTTGATATTTTTATAGCCACTCAAAATAACCGCTAATGTTGATTAAAGAACAATAAATCAAAATGTAAGCCCAGAAGAGATAAGGATATTAGGGACCACTCCAAATCTCGAAAATTCTCATAATTGAGTTTGGCTGTTAAGATTTGAGGTTACAGATTTATCGGAGAGTAAAGCGACAGCTCAGTTGCAAATTCGCATATTGTTTCCGTTGTAATTTACTGTAAATTATTGTCAATATTTTAATAATTAGTTGTTATAGTTTGGTACTTCCAAATTTATGTAAATAAATTCTTATATACACATAATATGTTAATAAATTTTTGTCCAATCTACACAGTGTTTAGTGTTGAAAGATTTTCATGAACGATTGAACAAATAACTAAATTACAACAAACATTGTGTCTTACCAAAGCCGTTTTCATTAATAGGCAAACATACATCTAGCCGAGCAGTCTAGGTATTAATTTAGGAACAAAAAATAAATATCATTAACCATTTTGATTTGAATTACTATCCGCTTTTTATTCGAGATATCTCGATTTATGTCAACCGAAAAGGCATACCATATATGCGTATATTTGTGATATGAGGACTAAGGTGAAATGAGAGTTTTATTGTTATAGAAGCCGAAAAATTCCTAAAGAGATTTGAGGAATGCTGCAGTTGACAGTCCCTGACCGGAAAAAATCAGAGAAGAACGGGGATCCTCATATTCAATACATATGGACAAATGGGTAATGTAGATCGATATCTTCCATATTTAGAATTGAGTACCAATATATTATTCATAAAATGTTCATTCATGGTCTTGATACTATCCCAAATTTGACTAATCAATAGGCAGAGTTTCCATACATTAGGATCACTATATGAACTTGCTTTTGTTTAGATACTTTTATTGATATTTTTACCTCGAGAAAAGCTTTTATCGTACTAAAATAATGTTATTCCTTTAAGAGTATTATAAATAAAGTTGGTGCAAAAAATTTGTTAGATTTCTTCTTTAATTTCTTGTTCTCAGCACGGATTTCGTAAAGAGAAATCCACTCGAACAAATTTGGTTGAATATCATTATATTGTTGGATTTTAGGACAAATAAACTTACTGATGTATACACTCATTTTAGCATAACTTTCTATAAATTAAAATACTCGGCTTTTGTGCAAAAACTGGATCTTCTTGACTTTCAGCCCAGATTTCTTCAATATTTATCTTCTTATCTCAATAATAGAACACAACAAGAAAAAATATCTTTTACAAATGTAAAAGATTCCTTACAAGAACATTGACCGGTCAGTTTGTATGGCAGCTATATGCTATAGTGACACGATCTGAACAAGTACTTCGGAGTGTAATTGCCTAACATAATAACCCATGCCAAATTTGGTGAAGATATTTCTCCAATGAAAAAGTTATCATATAAGCACAGATTGCTCAGTTTGTATGGTAGCAATATGCTATAGTTGTTCAAAATCGGCCGTTCCGACAAATGAGTATCTGATTCTGTTGATAGGGTGAGATCCAAGATTTGCTCCCAACCCAAAACTTGGGATGCCCGCGTATCTTGCATTTCCACGAAGATGATTCGCTTTGATTAGTTTGTATCCTGGAATTTTGAAATATGACCGATCATTAAAATTAATTTTTGCTACAAAAAGTACATCGATGTTGTTGATTTTGATATAATGTTCTACTCCTGCTCTACTTTTGCATAAACTGCTAGCATTCCATATAGTAATTTTTATTCTTAATTGCATTGGTTAACTGAGTCTTTGAGTTAAGCAATAATTTGCGTAAATTGAACTATCCATTTGTGGTGAGGGAATGGGTTGGGAAAATGATCTCGCTAAAAAGCTGGCAAAACTTGTACCAAAAATAAGTTGACTGGGTGGAGCAGACCGAGATTCATATTGATTTCTAGGCTGGTAGTTTCTACCTTGTAATTTAAGCCGTCGTTGGGCTATTTGCTTGTAGACACTGCATCCTTTGAGCATGAGCCTTACCTTACCATCTCTGCATGTCTTTTAGGTTATCGTGTGGGTAACTGTTTTCTCAACCATGGATAGCGATGCTTTGATGTTATTGATATCACTCCTAAAAATAGGCGGCGGTTATGGTGTTCCTTTGACTGTCCCTTGGTAGACACTTCATACATTTTGGTCATTGTCTGGAGAAAACATTTCAGCCAGTAAAGTGTGCGATGTTAAGAATGTTCATCTTTGTATGAACAACCACTGGTAAAAAAATAGTGATTGCCAAAAAATGTGTGTGATTGCCAACAAATTTCAATCTCAGCCTAGCGAAAGCCGGACATTGGAGGAGAAAGTGCCGGGATGTTTCCACCTCGCCCTCCTCCATGCAGCTTTGGCAACTAGCATCGGGTAGTACTCTAAGCCGTACCGCATGAGTGCCCATTGGACAGTGTCCAGTGAGAACTCCTACCATAGCGGCGAGATGCACTTTGCTCAGGGCGAGAAGTTCCCCCGACCTTCTGCGCTCCACTCTTGGCCAAAAGGATCTCGCGGTTGCACAGGAGTCTGCTGAGTGCACGCGAGGTCCATTGATTCAAAGCTAGAACGCAAGACGTTAACGGAGATCCAACTCGATCCCATTCCGATGGGGCACCCCTGGCTAGCTCATCGGCTTTGCAGTTACCAGCGATTCCGCTGTGACCAGGCATCCAAACGAGCCTGATGTTGAAATAGCCAGCTGCTATCTCAAATGAGGACACTCCTTGATTAGCTTTGATTGCAGGGTTCGCGCGCTCAAAGCTAGTATTGCCGCCCTACTATCGTACTTCTACCGCCACCTTGAAACAGCCACTTCCGCCTGAAAAACACTACAGTGGTCCGGTAGCCTGAAGCAAAGATCCAACCCTCCCTCCTAGCCTTGATCCATCCGTGAAAAAGCTCACCGCGCCTCTTCTCCAGCGGCTTCTTCCCATCCACATGTTCCTCATTGGAATATGAGCGGAGAAGAAGCCGCCTCGAGTGGCCTCAGTGACGCAGTGATCTAAATTTTCCGGAATACAGCTGAAGGAGGAAAGAATTTCGGAGTGTCCTTGTTCGGACCTCTTCAAAAGCCCAGCTTCCCTGAGCCTTAGAGCACACTTCGCAGTAATGCACTTACCGGCAATGTCCACAGGTGCTATGTTTAAAATAGCATTAAGAACTATTGCAGGTGTGGTCCGCAGTGCACCGGAGATTCCGATGAGCGCCGCTCTTTGGCCCCGCTCAAGCTTTTTAGCCAGTGTGGATCTTTCGAGCGCCCTCCACCAGACGAACACACCATAGAACATTATTGGCTTAACTACGGTTTCGTAGAGCCAGAACACCACCTTAGGTGAGAGTCCCCACCTTTTCCCTGTAGCCCCTTTGCAGCAGTATAAGGCAACCGATGCCTTCTTAACTCTCTCCTCAATGTTTGGCCTCCAGGAAAGTTTTCTTTCGAGGATAAGCCCTAGGTATTTCACTTTATCAACAGGTTGAGGGAGAGGCACATTTGGGATCTTATATCTCCTAGTAAATAAAACCATTTCGGTTTTACTTGGGTTGACGGCTAGGCCGCTTCTATTCGCCCAGCTAGATACCACGTTCAGGTGCCCCTCAGTGAGCTCGTAGACGGTATTCAGGAAATTTTCCTTAACTATAAGAACCACATCATCAGCATAGGCTGTCACCCGATAGCCTTGCGCCTCGAGTTCTATAAGTAGGTCGTTCACCACCAGGATCCAGAGCAGAGGGGAGAGTACTCCCCCTGCGGAGTTCCCCTATTCACTTTTCTGGTTGTCTTGGCACCAACCCAACCCGCTGCAACAGTTCTGTCGCAAAGAAGACTAAAAATAAGGTGTTTAAGGTTCGATTCCACCTCAAACTTTTCGAGAGCTTTAACCACTGTCTCTGGTCGCACGTTATTGAAGGCCCCCTCGATGTCGAGAAAGGTGCCCACAGCAAATTCCTTGTGCTTGAGAGCTATCTCCAGCCATGACACTACATCATGTAAAGCAGTGTCGACCGACCTGCCTTTGATATAAGCATGCTGCGCCATAACAGTTTACCCCTCGGTATTCTGTTCCTAATGTACAGATCTATAAGCCTCTCCAATGTTTTTAACAAAAACGAGGATAGGCTGATGGGTCTGAAATCTTTTGCACCGACGTGAGAGCTTTTGCCGGCCTTCGGAATAAAAGTAACCTTAACCTGTCTCCAGACCTTCGGGACATGGCCCAGTCTAACACAGTTCGCGTAGATGGGGGCCAGCCAGCTGCATGACATCTTAACCGTGCGTTGTAGTTGCGCTGGAATAATGCCATCGGGCCCCGGGGACTTAAAGGGTTTCAAGGATTGCAACGCCCAGGTAAGGTGACGATCGTCCAGAAGGTCCAGGAAAGCTGTACAGCCCTCCTGCAGCTCCCCCAGTGGCACTTCTTCAGCAGAGTGATTTAGTGGGAAATGAGTATCCAGGAGTAGCTTCAACGACTCCTCGCTGCTCGTTGTCTAACTGCTATCTGCATTTTTTAGGTACCCCACTGGAGTAGGATTTTTTGCAAGAATGCGCCTGAACCGTGAGGACTCATGGCAGCCTTCTACACTACCGCAGACGGCTCTCCACGAAGCCCTTTTGGCTTTCTTCAACTCGGACTTGTAAATGGCCAGTCCGGCCTTGTACAACGCCCAGTCGTCACTAGAGCCACTTTTACGGGCTTTGTTGAAAAGTCTTCTGCTCGAAGATCTGATCTCCGTTAGCTCCGAAGTCCACCAAGAGGATTTCCCTTTGATTTTGTGAATTCTCATAGGACAGGAGCTGTCAAGAGTAGTTCTACTAACAGAGCTGAAAACCTCGACGAGCTCATCGACCGCATCCGCAGATAGGTTC